TATTTATTTATTTATTTATATAGTATGAATGTGCAACACAGAATAGAACAAAGCCTAAAAGGAGAAAAGAAAGCATACAGTGATGCGTCGGAGTGCTGGGCGTCATAACCATCAGACAAATTATTTTCATTTTTACATAACACGTCATCCATCCGCAACAAAACGCATATATCTACGAAAATTTGAGCTAGAAAGAGCTGCAAGAATCACGACAGGCCAACAAAGTTGGATATAAACCGGCACACAAGCCTGAAATCTACAGAAGCTTTTGTAGTTAACCAACAGTAACAACCAGTAAAAATGACGAAACCTAGTTACCACTATCAAATTTCAAATAAGTTTCCTGCGCACAAATAATTACATCTACGTTTGCAAAGAATTAAAAAATTTCGTAATCTACCCAAACCACTGAAATCATTCTTGCTCATTTGACGAATAAAGTTACAAACAGCAAAATAACCAGAAGTGATCAGGAATATAAAAAAATAAGCTGCTTTCTCCGTCGTAGGCAGTTAACAAACAGGTCTTCAAATATTTCTTACCTTATTTTTTTTAAATGATTAGCAAACCTTGGTTTCAAATTTAAACGTACGTCACAGTTCAAAAAATCTAACTGAAGAATGTGGGTTATATGCCGCGGATCGCTTTTTATGACAGCGCACCAGCATAACGAATCCTTGGAACAATTTGAAAAAATAACTATAAACGATGAACAAAACTGAGCAAAAAAAGAACAGCTTTGCCAATGACCAGTATACTGCATACAGGCGTCTGTATTACTATCGCTTCCGTTGTCGTTTATTACATTCTTTTACGTTAGCCAAACATTACTCAAGACCAATTCCCTACCATTTTAAGCTGTTACCTAGAATACTCTATTAAGTGCAAAATTTAAGTTCAAACACCAGACACTTTTTGTAACGAATACTGGAAGAATAAACCGAAAGTTAATAAGGCAGTAAAGCGGCATAATTTCCTTAGTAGGCGACTATTTGCAAACCGACTAGTTTGCAAAACTTTAGCCGAATATTAAACGTAAGAATGTTACTGCATGAGAAGTGTTGATTGTGTTAATTACAACAGCTATTATGATTAGAAAGTCAAGCGTTATAAAAAAAAATTAAGTGAATCTTAAAGGAATGGTTCAACAAATAAATCTTTCCAACGGAACTTGATTCAACCTTGCATCGCAGCTTTCCTGAACTGAGGTGATCAATAAAGAAAATAAAAAAACCAACTATTTTTAGCTTAAAGATTGAAGAACGACAACGTAAACTACGTATCGATTTAGAATATCAAGAAA